GTAAATTTGACTGATACTTTAAAATGATTAAAATGATTAAAAGTAATTAAATTTAAATTAAATGTTATAGAATAATACCATTATAAATTACCATTATCTAATCATCTAGTTCAGTATTCAAAATCGAGTCAACAAGATTCTCCGGATTAAAATCCATATTAATACTATTGCTGCTTTCAATGCTGTGATTAGAGCTATAAATCAAATTTTCGTATAGTTCAATATCTCTTTCTTGGAAGATCGGGTCCTTTAAATTAACAGTTTCTTCCAAAACCAAATTAGTCTGAGATAAAGTTTCGTTATCATTACTTTCATATTCTTCACTTTCTTCTTCTTCACCTACAATAAAATTATCAATTGAAGCAAGATTAACTATTTCACACAATTCAGATTCAGTTAATTTAGTTTCAAAATAAGTAAGTTTATTTCGTATATTTGTCAAGTAATATGATCAAATTTTTGCTATTGCTTCAAGTTTTGTAATATCAAGATGTGTACGTTTGTCTCCAGTAAACCACTTTAAAATAGAAAAATTTCTTTCACAATTAGCTTGAAATGGTGAAATACTAAAGAGTCGTTGTGTAAGTTCTGAAAGATGACGTGGTTTGCTTTTTAATGATCCCCACTATAACATTGGAGTATCAAGACCTTGAACATAAGATAAATCAAATGGCTTTTTTTTAGCATCATAATAACGAAATAATAAAATTAGCTCTTTACATTCTTGCTCTGAATGCCCTAAATTTTTCTATAAAGTTGAGGCAGTTATAGCGGCATCATGAAATGCCTCATCCTTAAGACCAATTCCTAACAAAAAAATACGTAAGTATAAAAAACAATATAAAAAAAAAAAAAAAAAAAAAATTAATTGTACCACAGTAAAGTGAATGAAGATAGTAACACAAAAGATAACACGGATGCTAAAACTCCATATAACGTTAATTAAATATTTTAATCATAGCAGGTTTAAGCAAGTTAGATTCAGAAATTTGGTAAACCGCAACAGCCAGTTTAATCATACAAATATAACAGTCAGCTAGAGATGTGGTACTACTTTCTAACATATTGATATAAGCTTTTATTGGTTTCCAAATAGATCGAATTTGTCAGCACATAGTAAAAAAGTCTTCATTATGTAATAAATTGAAGATTTCAGTGTTCGTAACCATATTTGGATGCTCATCCAGAATCTATATATTATAATATAATTAATATTAGTGTATACAAATTTTGGAAAAT